ACAAGGAGAGGTCAAAACAATAAAAAACCCACAAACTTAACACTGGGAATCAGGAGGAGGGAAACTGGACAGCGTCTCTGACTTGGAGCCCACCACCACCATCAGGCACTGCAGCCATGGGACCCCTGAAAGCAGCACGAGGCTCTGCCCCTACACAGAGGACCAAAAGGCAGGTGGAGGAACATCAGCAGATTTGTAAGAGTTAAGTGTCTTCCCCCAGTAACACCTCCCCGCTCCCGAAGCCAACGGGTTCCTGAGGCAGAGGTTGTTTTACCCAGTCAAGTGGAAGGTGTTTAGATTAACCATCACGTTGGTGAGCAGTGATTACATGTATCCAGGACAGCTGTAAACGCATCCAGATGAAAAGTATCCAAAACAGCTGTAAACACAGCCACGTCCCCTCTGCCTGGAGCACCAACACTGCTCCCAGCCCGTGGCACCATGGATGCATTCACAAACCCATCAGGCAGTGTCTGGGCTGGCAGCCCTGGCATGCTGTGGGAGGCACTGATCCCCCTGTGCCCCAATCCCACTGTGGGGCTCTGAGCAGCCCCCTCCTCCCTGCTGAGCTGCAGAAATCAGGAGCAGAAGCATCCCCCAAGGATGCTCTTCTTGCCTCTCCCCTTTCATGTGTCGGCTTCTGTCCCTCAGTCCCTCAAACAGTGCCTGCTAAAGCCAGACAAACCACACTTTAAATCCAGATGAAGTGTTCAGCTGAGATCAGTCTGTCCTCCTGGCCCCTTCTGGTGTCTGTCTGTCCATCCTCCCAGGCTGGCTGAGCGTGGAACAAAGGGTCGCCCGGGCCGGGGTGATTATCTCTTCCTCCATCTCCTTCCCTTGGGAGGATATCCTGGCATCATGTGCCTTCACCTGCTCGGGGGGGGCCTGACATTTGCTCCCTTTCCAGCACCTTCCTGTTTGGGACATTTCTTTGTTTCAGCTTCCTTTTCTATTTATGTCGCTGAAATCAAGTCCAGGGAGCAAAAAGCGAACGACGTGTCTCACGCCACTGTCGACAACCCTCCACAGCAGACTGCATCCTACACACTCACTGAGCAGACCTGCTGTGGCACCAGAGACCCTGCCACGCCGCTGTGGTCCCCACCAGCCCCGTGACATCTCACCCCCTGTCCCCCAGGTCACTCAGTGTCAAAGAGAACCCGCCCTAGAAATCCTCAATTTACGAACACTAAACTAAGTATGGGATCCAGATCCAGCTCCTCAGTGCCCTGGGGAAGCACCCTCAGGGACAAGCCTGGCTCCCCAGATGTTTGGGATGATGAGCCACAGCCAGACCTGTATGAAAACAGGAGCAGTTCATGTGCAAATCACACTGAGTTCACACAGGGTCACCAACACAGCCCTTCTGGCACCACACACCAATCGTTAAAGCAGAGAGAAGCCCTCAGATGATATTTTATGCACCCTACTTGGAATCAAGCAACCTGGAAAAACCTCAGAGCATGCGGACACAAAGGTCTAAATCTTGACAATGCTGCTGGCAAGGCACTGTGTTTTGCTTGTGCTATTTAACAGCTTCCTCATAAGGAAACAATTGAATTGGTTAAAGGGAAAAAGCCACACCACAAAAATCCCCATCCCACTGTTCAGCTGACAGAGCCCTGTCAGCAGCGTCACTCCTGACGCTGCTCCCAGTTTGGGTTACTGGAGCACCCAATGAGGCATCAGGACCGGGCAGAGAGAAACCACAGAGCCCTTCCCAGGGAAAATGTCTGAACAGGATTAAATTGCTCACCAAACCAAAAACACAGAGCCAGGTTTAATGCCTCACATCGAAGCAACCACGGTTCAGAGCAGAATCAGCAGATCCCAGATAGTTATCACGTAGGGAAGAGTCAGCAGGCAGGGCAATGATCTTCCCCTGCAAGGAAATGGTGGGTATGGAGATAAGGGTGATCCAATTAACCGAGCTTTATGGGGATTTCCAAATGGTACGTGGCAATGCTCTTAAGCACTTAAAGAATACCCCAAAGCTCTTAAAGAAACTGAGCTGCCACGGGATAAGAGGTAGAGCCCTCCTGGGATTAGTAACTGGTGAAAGGTCAGGAAGTGAAGAGCAGGAGCGGGACTGCATCTCTCAAGGGAGGGTCTGATGGCATCCTGCACCTCCCTGAGTGCTCTGAAAAGGCCAGGGCACAGCAGTGTGACAGCACATCCACGCAGGATGGCCACCAAGGCCAGAGAACTCAATAAAGTCAAAAAGGTCATGGTGAGACCCACAAATCTGGGCAGGGACAAACTGTGCTCAGAGGCAAAGGCTGGGTCAGGTGATTCACCTCGCCCCTCTCTTGTGCAACACCTGGATGAAAGGAGTTGCTGGTGCCAATCTCATCTGCTTCCAAAACCATCAGGAAGCTTGAATTTGCAGAGACTGCTCCTGCAGGAACCCACCTTGGGTTGGTTTCAGAGGTACCTGTGCTGTAAATAAAGGGCAAAAGAAACAGGAACGAGTGTGCGAGTGGCTTCATAAAGGGTGGGCATCCGGGGGGGGGAAATAACCCCACACAGGGAAAGGGCTCACTGCACATACGGGAACATGCAAGAGTGGCAGAAGGTCAGAAGGGCCAGGTCTCTGCTCTGCCAGCCACATTTGGGGCCAGAAGGAGCAGGAGTCACTGGAGTTTGAACTCCCTGGATCAGCCACACTGCCTGTGCTGGGACTGTTGAGGACCATCATCGTGGTGCCTGCTGGCACCTGCAGGCACCTCCCTGGCAAGCTGCCCTGGGCAGAGCATGCAGGGGCAGGGATGGGGGAGGGAAGTTCAGCACCACTACTGCTCAAAGGAGAAAATGTGGCTTCTTTCGTGGCCTGGGGCCTCTGCCTCCACCATCACCGTGCTCCCCCAGAAGCTGCCCCGCACACGGTGCAGCCAGACAGGCACTCCAGGTCGCAGGGGGGTGACCAGGACCTGGGCTGCTGCAAGAACAGCCGTGGCCAGGCTGAGTCACGGCCAGCTGGGCCCCAGGCAGACGTTCCTGTGGGCTGGTGACGTGGGGAGGGTAAGGAGTGCAAGTCCTTCTCTGTGAGCTGGGAGACACCTCCTCTACCCCCAAGACAGCAAACCTACAGATTCACCCCCAAGTGACTCACAGAGGTTCAAAGCTCACACTGACCAGTGGCTGTGGTGAAGACATGCATGGGAAGGGAGTCAGTCCCAGTGTGCCCTGGACAGGGAGCTGGGGAGAGCAACCATAGTGCAGCAGAGACCCAGTGCTCACAACAATCCCACTGCTCCCCACCAGCTGCCACTGCCACGTTAAGTACAGGGTAAGAAGTGTGGCTGAGGGCTGGAGTTGCACCAGACCATGGCATGACCCAGGGCCTGCTGATGGAGAGGAGATCCTGGGAGTCATCTCAAGGAAGCCATGGTAGCCCCCCAGCCCCACTGCTCCCAGCCAGCAGCTGGCAGGAGCCATCCAAGCTCTCCTGCCTGACCCCACAGCCTCCACAAGCTTTCCCTGGCAGCCTTGGAGGCAGCCAGCTCCACTCTGCCAGTACCCACAGCACCAGCATGTGCCTCAGTGCTGGAGATGACAAGGGGTTATGCTGCAAAAAGCCATCCCACATGCTTAGCTCTAGGCTAAAAAAGAAAGCCACGGGCACAAGGCAGCTCATGGCTTCACCCAGAGTGCGAGCAGGAGTGCTCTCTCCCTGGCATAAGTCACACTTTCCACAGGCCAAGAGGATGGGGGTGCTCCCTCAGACAAGGTCTGAAAGGAAAACTTTCCAAGGGTAGACAAGCCAGGCAGCGGAAGGAAGGAGCAGGGAGGCTCCCTGCTCGCACTGGGGACTTCCTTGGGTTAGATGAAGGGCCGGGACCGGGTCTGTGTGACTCACTGTGCTTTTCTGAGCTGTGCTGCTGCCCTGGTGCAACCCCTGCTCCAGCAGGAACCAACCACTGGTACCGGGGAGAAACGTGGGAGGAGTAAGAGCTGCTATTAAAAATTATCCCTTTGCAACCTGCACGCCACAGACACTACCCACTGGCTGCTGGAAAGGGAGAATCCCCTTCCACCCACCACTCTGTGTGCAGCTGAAAATATCCGCTGGTATCACCAGATGGACAGGATACCCAGGCTCCTGCTTTCAGACACAGCTCTCTGAACAGCCTTCAGAGGCGAAATCACCAACAGGGAAGCAAAGCAGCTCACAAAAGTAGTCCCAAATTTCTCCAGTCCCGAGTTGTTGCGCATTTGCTGCTTACTCACTTCTTGCCAAGCCTGGAGCTGCTAGGGTGGGCCCCCGCCCTCCCCTCTGGCACAACTACTCCTTACAGCTTGGAAGCTATTTTTCCCCCCACTCTGCTATCTTAAAAAAAGAAAGAAAGGGGAAAAAAAAAAAAAAGGCGTGAAAGCTTTTATCATCCTGAAAACATGCCAAGTGCGAAGGCGACTCCGTGTCTCAGACGCCTGTTTCCTGGCAGATTTTTCAGTCCTTTGCTCAACTGCTCGGATGGCGGGGGCAGGAGATGCCTGCAGCAGCAGCAGGCTGTGAACTGGAGTCCTAAACACTCCCGTGTTTAACTGCTGCTAAGTTCCCAGGGGACCAACATTTTCAAACAGCGGGGCTGGGAGCGGCACACGCAGCCAAGTGGCCCCATCTGAGGTGAGGGGAAGGTGATGCTGTGCAAGGAGGGGAAGGACCACTAGCACTGGTACAGGAGGTACCAAGAGGGGAGGGTCACCGGACCAAGAGAGCAGGCTGAGCAGGGGCAAAGTGCTGGATGAGTGCACTCCTGGTGTCCAAATTTCCAGCAACCACCTAAAGGTGCTGGGAAGTCCACGTGCAGCCTGAGAGGTGGGGACAGCCCCTGCCCTTGATGCTGTCCTGGAAAGAGCTACACACACAGTGTGAGTGGCCCAGACACCCTGGGCATCCTTGGCACATACTCCCAAGGAGAGGGTATTTCAAGGACACAAAAGGCTTCTGGGATAGCTGCTGTGGGGACAGAGGAAATTAAGACAGCTGAATGCCTCACCTGGTCTCTCAGAGGATCCTTCTGCTGTGGGGCTGCTGAGGTTGAAGATCAACAGGTACCGATGGATGGACCATACGGCACAGACTGGAGTCCAGGGCAGCCAAGTGGTGCCACCACCGATATTGTTAATGGGCTTCTCTCCATTCCTTTGGCAGAAGAGCGCAGGCCACCCTTTGCTCTCACCTGGAGAGGGCTGCAGTACACCTGGAACTGACTGCCCCCAGGGTGGAAACACAGCCCTACTATTTACCACCGACTGGAGAAGGGTGAGGCTCCAGAACAGTTAAGAGTACATCGATGACACCACCCTGTGGGGAAAGGGGCAGAGGAAGTTCCTGACATCTTCACCTCTTGTCCTCCAGCTCTCACCTCTGTCCCGCCAGGGCGGGAAGGGGGAGCGAGAGAGCAGTGTCTCGGTGGGGACACTGAACTGGGGAGCATCATTCCTAAACCACAGCAATCTCCTGGCACACGACCCACAGCAACATCTACCCTAGCACATACCTACAACCAGCCCTGCTGCCAGCTGAAGATTTTCCTTAATGTTTCAATCCAGGCCATCCACGCATTGCTCCAGCTCTCCAGTTACTTGGAACCACCTGCAAAAAGAAAACTAAGTAGCCTGGGAAGGCAGGGATTAATGGCCTTTCAGATTCACTTTTTTTCCCCTAGGGACAAGTTCCTGGGAAGAACACGCCATGCCAGCTGCCTCATGTCCCTCCTGCCCTCCACTCACTTCTCCATCCGCTCAAGAGCCCAGGGGATGTCTTCACCTTCTTCATCTCCCACCTTCTCCCCGTTTAAGCACAGGGATGGCTGCAGCTGGGGCCAGCCAGCCCAAAAGCAACAGGCTGGAGGATGGGACACCATCAGCACCTCTCCGTGGCCTCTGCCAGCAGGAAGCTCCCGCCAGGCCCCGGGGCAGCAGGGCTGTCACGGTGACCTTTCTCTAACAGGCAGCATCAGCAGCGGTGTCTGCACTGCCAGAGCCAGGTGGCATCAGGCAAACTGCCTTTGTTCAACAGCGCCAGCCTAGAGGGAGAAAAAAGGCAGCATTACCAGTGAGGCAGCAGATAGGTATGATCACAGTGCCAGCCACTCCCGCTGCAGGTGGTTTTAGGCATTGACTTGGGTCAGAGTCAGCTGCAGCAGGGTGCTTTCCCAAGGTTAAGATGCATCAGTAAACTTTTTTTTTTTTAATGTTCAAGAGACAGCACTGATATTTTCATGTGCAAGCGACCGGCTGAAGGTCACAGCCCGCGGGCAGGACGTTTTGGGACACCTCCTATAGGGCAGGCCAAACAGGGAACACAAAGGCCAAAAGGACTGAGTATCAGCCATGGGAATCACATGCTTTTAAGGCCAAGAGAAGGCAAGCCCATGAGTTAGACAAGATCTGCAGAGATTTCTCACTGCTTGTGCTGCGTGAGGCAGTAGCAGTCTCTTGATTCACCGTGCACATGGAAAAAAACAATTATTTTAAGTCATTTTTCCAGGATGGAAATAAGCTCGTATTTCAATTCCTATTTACCAAAACAGGAGCCAAAGTCAGTGCTGTATGAAAGTGTGTTTATTCCCAAGCTAAATTTCTCACATAAAACAATGTCTGTGAACAGCAGCATTCATCCTGACACATCTCCAACAGCCTCCCGGGCTTGCAGCCCCGACCCATTCCACCACAGCAATCGGGAATCTCTTTTCAGAGCTGTCAGGAAGGGGAGGGAAACGACAGAAAACAGATCCATGGCCATTGGCACAGTCTCAGAAATTGTGCCTGCTCGCAAGAAGAGCAGATGTATCGAGACACTTTGCAGGGAGATTAATGCCTGCACAAAGACCCCACAGAACACCCTGCTCCGTGCAGACTGTCTGCAAAGGGACAGCTGGCCCTGCCAGGAGAGAGCTGTGTTATTCCTGCAGACAGAAACCAGGGCTGTTGGATGTAATCATCTGCTGAACTGCTTCCAAGGACCGAAGTGGCTGAGAGGTCGTGTCAGAGATGCGCTCCCTCGCACCCCTGTGCGCTGCTCCGGTCCCAGCTGATGCTCTAGAGGGAATTCCCTTCTTCCCCCAGCCTCAGCCTCTTGGAGAGGTGGTTGCTGATGGCCATGAGGGGGTTGGCTCTGTACTTGGGATCGGTGATAACCTCGTGAAACCGAGCCACTTCCTCCTCTCTGCAGAAAGAAAAATAACACACAAATACTCCAAGTGCCTCACGCAAAAGAAACCGAGCAGATAAGGAGCAAAGCTCATAAAGCAGCGGATTTCTGTCGAGACAGAGTGATCCTGGGTGTAAATCTCAGAGAGAGAGACAGTGCAAGAAATAAACCTAATTTAGCCAAGGGCAAAGCTCAAATTGCTGCCAGCTTCATGGGAGCCAGAGACTTGATCTCACGCCACAGAGACAGAAACAATCACTTTAGTGTCCAGCATCGCTTGGAAATGGTTATTTTAGAACTTCTCCCTAGTAGATCAAGGGACTGTGGGTGTCTGGTAAATCACCAGGAATGAAAATGACTTGAAGTCACTGCACCAGCACAAAATCAGATTCTCTTCTGGCATTCAGCTACTCCCCTCCCAGGTATGGGCCTTCCTTTCAATGCCAGCGCTGTCCCAGGCAGAGGAAGAGAGGAGCCAAACCTGAAGCTTGGGGTTGTGGCAGTTGGGGCAATGTGGTGAGTCTTAGGGAACCTCCTATCCCAACTAAGATCCTGGGAAATAAACCTCAAGACCTTCCTCCAAACTGTTTGCCTCCCAAGCAGCACAGACTTCCCAGACCACCAAAAAGTAAAGAAAGGCAGAACTGAGCAAGGAAGGCATCCCAGCACCAACAGTGGCCAATTTCTGACAGAGAAGGGCATTCATGGAGTGTGTGCTGGAGATCTGTAGCCTGACTGTTCAGCCTCAGTTTGATGGCTCAGAACTGAGAGAAATCCTGGAAACATGAAAGCAAACACTGCCAGATCACAGTGCCCAGCCCCAGGAGAGCTGTGCTGAGGGAAAATGAAGCTCTCGATGCCTAGTGGCGGTATAAACCATCCAAGAGATTATACAGAGGAATGAGGAGTTGCCAGACTAAGCCCAGGAATTATTCAAAAGCATTTAAACTCTCCATCCTTGCTGATATTCAAAAGCCATGTGGACGTGGTCCTGAGCAACCAGTTCCAGGTGACCACCCAGGGCTCCCTCCCAGTCTCAGCCATTCCCTAAGGCCCAGCAAGGAGTGGACCCTGGCAACTGGGTACTTACAGGAGCCGATGTTTCTGAGCTTGTTTCATCAGACAGAAGTCTGATGGTTCTGCCTTTGCTATCTGGCTGTGGAGAGAAGAAACAAAACAAATGAGTGAGCATTAGAGAAGAGCAGTAATTTAGAAATGGCTGTGGAGATGGAAAGAGTCCAGGAATCCTGCCTCTGCCTTCCCAGAAAGGACAGGTAATTGTCCTGCGTGGAAACTGTCCTGAAAGGCAATTATTTCACAGGCAGGCCCTGTGTGGAAATGCAAACTCCTCCTGGCACAGACTGACAGAGCGGGAGGCACTGCGGGAAAACCGGATCGCTCCGTTCCACAGCTGCTCGTCGGCTGTCCGTGCCCAGATCACCTTCCACTTACCACTGACCTCCGGGTCAAACCGATCCTGTTGCTCAGAGCAAAGATTCCACCGGCCTTCCCCTCGCTGCCACACGTGTCACCCCTGCAGGGCTCACGTTCCCTGCTGATGGCTCCAGCCTGGCAGCCACCCCTTACAGGCAGAGATTTACCCCAGAGCCCCAGCAAGGGACACACAGGAAGGGCAGGGACCGCTTTCGGGACTCTGAGTGCACAAGGGGAGCTGCTGGTCCAGCTGGACTTTAGGGCAAGGAGGAGAAATGTCCATTCTTCAGCACTACACAGATACAGAAGTTAACAGGAGGAACAAGTCGGGAAGTAGGGTAGCTCCTCTCCTATTTGCCCTGAGGCTGAGCCCCAGCAACAGCCCAAAGGGGAGCAAGAGGGTCTGCCCCTTTCCTCCTTGAGCCCTGCCCCAACAGAGGGGTATCTTCCCATACTGGTGGGTGCTGGGGGTTAGAACCTTCCCCACCAGATCTGCCCCAAAGGTTAGGAAACACAACAGTTCTTTGCCTTCTCTTCAAGACAGCAGGATCTGGTCTTTGTTGGCAGTGTTACAGTGACCTCCTCTTTCCTATTTCTCTCTCTGACATGCTACCCTCCATCCTGTTATTTTGCCTTTTTTTCCCCCATTCTTCCTTCCCTCCTTACTCCCTTGTCTCATATTCCTTCACCTTACTTACTTCCATCACCCCTCTCTACTCAATCAGCTCCTGCTCATTTTCCTCTCCTCTCCCTCCCCCCACACTTAACAGCTCAGCACAGGAACAATTTCTTGTCCCAGTTTGCCTGGAATGCTCACAGAAGCTCAGGGAAATCCCTTCTCAGGTTGGATGGCAACCCACGGTCACCAGAGCAGGGCTTGCCAAACCCGTGTGTGCCACCAAGTCACCATGGCAGCCCCTTCAGCAACGAGCAGCTCTGCAGAAGGTGACAAAGCCCAAAGGAAAGCTATTCTAGAGCACATTCCAGGCTGGATTTCCCTCCAAAACCACCAGCACACTGCCTGTTCTCTTGGACCACGCTGGCAGCCCGGTTTCATTACACTTCATTGCCTTCATTCATTATAAAACAGAATAAAAACCTCCCCGTAATGAGCCTTTACCCTGCAGGAGATCGAATTCCTGGAGAATCTAATCTTTTATTAATAATGACGACAAATCACCAGAGTATTACCCTTCCTTTCTGCAATGATTCAAATCCTGTAAGAGCCCTCCTCTGATTATTTCAAACCCTTCTGCACACACGTCCAGGAAGCCAAGAAGCCAACAAGGGTTAGAAGAGCCCCATAGCTCCTCCATGCCAGCACTGAGTGGGGCTGCTTTTGGGTTGGCATGTCCTGCTGGAGCCAATCTGGCTGACATCACCCAGTCAAGCCTCCTGCTTGTACTGAACCCATTACTCAACACATATATCTGATGTCCTTTTAATTCTCCCACTGGAAAAGATCACACCGTGACAGAAAAGGGGACAAAGACACCCACTGGGGCTCAGGTAAGTCCTGGCCCCAAACTCCAGCCAACCAGCTGCCTGTGCTCTGCAAGAACCTGGAAGTTTTGCTTGTTACTTTTGCTGTTCATTCCCACTGAAGGAGAGGGCAGGCTGACTAAATGGTTGCATACAGGGGAAAAAAAAAATAAAAATAAAA